CCAAGCCTGTAGCGCTGCATGGGGTTGTTGTGGCCGAAGTGCAGGACCTGGCACTTGGCCTTGTTGAATCTCATACAGTTGGCCAATGTTAGGCACTGGGAAGCCACAGTCCTACTTCTTCACCTAGCTGGCCTGAGACACCCCCTTCCCAGCTCCCACCTGTGTCACAGGGCTCGGCGTGACCGTCTGAAACATCTGGCAGAAGGTACGGAGCTGAGCGCCAGACTGCTGCAAGGTGTCTTCCACCATCTTCCAGAAACTGGGCAGAGGCATGCGGCCATGAGGCATCTGTGAAGATAGACCCTGACATCAGAGAGGGCCCTGGGAAGGGGAAGAGCTGTGGGTAGGGTCAAAAGAAAAGGAGCAGGAAGAGAAGAGGTGAGAAAGCAAGAGAAGAGACCTTGTCACTAAAGATGCACCTTGCATCTAGGATTTGTTTCCCGTTGGCAAGGAGAGCTGCTGCTCTCTGGCTTTGAGCCACCTGCCCTGGGCAGGGTAGTCACATGCAGGGCTCTTGGGCTGTACCCAGCCCATCGCAACAGTCCCTGGGTCCTGCTGTCCTGCCCCAAGCCCACAGTCCGTCCCACCTGACTAAAAAGGGAGACAAGTGGATGTAGCTCCGAGGTAGATGTCTGCAGCGTAAGCATCCCAGACTGAGCAAGGGGAATCCACCCTCATGACTAGGTACGTACAAGCAGTGCCTGAGAGAATACCTCCACGTGGCTGCATCTTGTTCTCATCTTGGTCATGGGTCAGGCCAGGGCCATGCTATACCCCAGGGCTCTGGACTGGCCTGACCCACCACGTTTGCAAACGTCAGGCTCAGAGAGTGCAGTGAGGAGTCCTGGGAGATAATCTCCCAGGGGATGGAGGTTCAAGGGATGCTCGTTCCTCAGGCCAGGAGCTGTCCTTCTCCTCCTTGCCTTCCCAACACAGAGCTCTTGGGAGCTCAGAGTTAACACGGATCTCTCAGGCAGCACATCAATGAATTACCAGTGGTGTCCTCAAAGAGAGAGCAGGACAGTTCCTGGCAGTGAAGAAGAGACAATTTGGCTTTCCCCAGCTGAAGGAGAGGAGAGATCACTTACAAATGCTAGACAGGGAGCTGTGTGTCTGCAAGGGCAGGCTTGGGCTACAGCAGACCTTCAGTGCCCTGACATCCAAGTGATGTCCCAAGCCTGAAGAAGGCAGGTCTGGCTCAGCATGTGCACCAGTTTGGGCACACACACCAAGGGGTCACTCTCACCTGCTCTAGCTCCTTTTCTGCCTGGTGCAGGACCTGGGCAGCCAAGTCCCGTTGCAGGGCGCTGAGGGAGCACAGTATCTGCCCTAGGAGCTGCACAGCCACCTGGTTGAACCGTGGGAGCTCAGCCACCAGCAGGGCATTGATGGCAAGGTAGGTGTTCATGGCTGCCTC